GCGTGGTAGCGCCCGGGCTGGGCGCGGGGCTGCAGGGCGCAGCCGCTTTCCACTTAAAACCGAAGTTCTTGCCAGCGGTCGCTTGGCGGGCCTTCATTCAGTTCCGATTCATAAACCCGTTTATCGGCATTTTTTGTTTCTGCTGGTGAGAAATAATCGTCTCTAATGAGAAGAATAAATACGGCGCTCTGGTGCAATGTAAATTTCCTTTATTTTAGGAATTCAGGTTTTACCTTTCTGCAACAGAAGGGGTTCCCGGTGATGGCATCACGAGGCTCTGCAGACGCAATGTCTCGGCGATTCCCCTAGCTTGCCCCCTGGCAGGCAAGTGACTTTGTCCCCGGGTTTGGGGACTCCCACGTGCAGCACTGCCCTTCCTCTTCACCTTTGCCAACCCCCCGTTTGAAGACTTCCATATTCTCAGAAACACCCCCGGCAGCTTACGCGGTGCGGGAGACTCTGCAGCTGTAGTTCCCAAATGTTTCGGTTTCAGAGCCCCTTGCAGACTGGTGCCGATGCAGTCGTGCACAGCAGAGTGTGATGTTTTGTCATCGTGCAGGTGAGAAACGGCGGCTGAAGCCCGAGCAAGGGGGACAACCTTGGTTTTTTGGGTTTGTTTTTTAAACGCCTTGCACATCAGGGTGTTTCCTGCTTGGTTAAATACAGCTGGATGTCCAGGTTTGGGGTCGGAATGAAATGATACACGTCCCAGCTGGTTTGCACCTCCCAGGGTTTCCTGCTCAGTCCCATGCTTGCAGAGGAGGTGGCCGAAGCGTTACATGAATATATCTTCATATCGTGCGGTCCTCCGGGCTAATTGCATGTTCCCTTGCCAGGACTGTAACTGCTGATAGGACCCGAGGTGGGATCGATGAGCTCTCTTTCTGGCAGTGGCTAATTAAATCCTCGGAGGATTACAGGTAAATCAGAGTGTTCATTGCTAACAGGTTTCTAGGGGCACCAGTCCCATCTACCTGTCCCACTGTTTAAGGAAAAGCAGTCCAAATCGGCTTTTGGATTGAGGGTAGCTGTTTGTACTTCTGCTCCTTGAAATCATAGTGATATCTGAACGCCGTAATATAAATATCAGGAAACAGTGGTGTTTCTGCACATAGTACGGATTTGCCATTGCTATACATCCGTTTCCTTTCCACATCCAAACAGTTTCGCGCTTATTACAATGTTTTTGTCACTTGGATTCTTCTGTGTTCTTTCTACATATCCTTCTGTTACATACTGCATGTTGGACTTCTGGTTGGCAACTGAAAGATAAACGCACGTTTATTACTGATTTTGTAAAGGGCGGGGGGTACCTGCATGGTTTAAATATTTTGTATTTAAAAATATTTGAAAACGAAGGAAAGTTTTGAAAGTATTTTGACAATAATTATGAGCCACTTTCTCTTTTAATGCAGTTTAGGTGCTGCAATAAACTCATGTTGAAAGATGTTGGCAAAGTTCCCTCATTTTTGCCATGTGGGCTCACTCACCTGCCGAAAGCTGCCTTTATTTAGACAAAAGTCCAAGTGTGGAGCAGAAATTCCCCAGCTGAGGGGGCTGACAGACCTGCCTCGGTCTGTAGTCACCGGCTGAGGACAGGACGGATGAAGCACTGATGTTTTGTTGGTGGTGAAATCAGGTATAAGCCGTTCGGGACAGTTTAACAATAGTGGCATTCCCGGTACACACCACGCATATTGTTTTTAATAGCGTTTCAGTAGATTGTATTTAGAAACTAGATAAACCCATTGTGATTTTCCAGTCTAACCTATCAAATAAAAAGCAATGATTTTCATTTTGCATGGTTCTGCATCACTCTTGCTGAAGCTGTAATACCTGTGGTGGACCTCTGGGTATGAAAGGTTTGGGTTTAGAATATTCAGGTTTAAAACATGCAATTTGCAAATATCTCTGTATAGTAAGATTGACTGCAGTCTGCTCTGGCTGTGGTCAGTAGCAATGCTCTACCGGGAATTAGTTTATATTGGTTAAAGCTTTTTACCGTGTCCGTTCCTCTCGTGGCCCGGACTGTCTTCATTAGATTTGGATTTATAACTCTCCAGCGTCTGCTCTGAAACATCATTTTCTGTGCAGAAAACAAATGTAATTAAGATGATGAGATTTTTCCATGACTCTTCTTCACTCTCTGCCTTCAGCATAAAAATCCTGAGAAACTAGTTATAAAATGGGGGTTCAATCATCCTGACCATCTAAGAGGTATGCTTAAGACAACAATTTCGTTGGCTTTTGTGGCACCTTGTGTGTCAGTTGAAGCGTGGCCCAAGGCCGTCAGTTACAGGGACTCTTCAATAGTTGTTTGCAACAAGTCACAGTCACTGTCTATGGGAGAAGGACATCTAATCGGTGGCTGGAGGAGCCTGTCTTGTCTCTGCTTAACAGGCTCCTCAGCTCTCCGGCCCCTCTGAATAAAGCAGCGTCAGCAGTTGCTCGGACAGGGCCATCACCCACCTCTCTTCCACACTCCATGAGCTTTTTTGAGCTTCCTCATAAAAAGCAGGACAATGATGAGCAGCACGAAAATCAGAGCAGCCACCAAGATCGGCAGCAAGAGATTATTCTCCTTCTTTTTGATGCCTTCAGATTTCAGATCTTGCTCTGTAAAAGAGGCAGGTGTATGTTTGTGTTGTTAAATAGCTTCCTGTGAGTCTCTGGTAACTAAGACAAGAATGATATATCCTGGACCAGGCCAGATGAACATGGTAGGAGAGCAGAAGTCATCTTATTGGACTTAATTTTAGGATGTGAGGTCAAATTTTTTCTTCTTGTATGAACAAGAAATCAGTGGACTCGTGCTCTGGCACAACAAACAGTAAAATTTAGCTTTTTTCTAGATGATAAAAATGGTTGTGTTTCTGTGGTCTCTCCGCGAGATTGCAAGCCAGTATTACCCTAGTGTACTGACAAAAGGTTTGGAGGTGGATATGTGGTCAGAGAGAACCAGCTTGGTGTACGAAAGCTTACTGCATGTTTGGAAGCTGTCATTAAAGAGTTCGTACCGAAGGTGATGGTGGAAATCACAGTTACATTTTCACTTGGTAGTGGGGCTTCTGTGCTGGAAAGTTCCTCTTCTGTGACATTGCCATTGAATGCTGTTTCAGTCCCTGGAGAAATGGAAAGGCGAACAGTATTTCTCTGAAGGGCAAAGGGATGCTTAAGAAACGTGTATTTTCCCAGCAGCTTTGAAGTCCAGGGCACCTGGTACTGCAGCAGAAAGGGACTCATGGAGCCCTTGACTTAAAGCTCTGTGCTCACTTCCTTAACACTGTATTTCGTTTTAATCTGAGGACCACCTAAGCTTTATGAACAGAAAATCCTCAGAGTCTCTTACACATTGTTGAACTCAATGGTTCCCATTTACAGCCAAATTAAAACAAAGCTGAGCTTTGACTCTTTGGTCATTTTGGGGCTTTCCCTGTCCATCAGTTTGCTTCGCTTGCTTGCAAAACCAGGAAGGAGCATGTATCCTCTTCCTTAAAGCAGATGGTTTTTTTTGCTATTCATATCCTTGACCACTCTTTTACTGTCTTCACAGCTCACAGCGGTGCAGTCACCCGGTGTGAGCCCCCCCCCCCCCCCCCCCCGCCACTCATGTCTGATGATGCAAGGTCGTACCGTTGGGGACATGGTAACTCGACGAACCAGCCAATTCTTCCTTTCCTGCTGCAGCTGGCGTTACTTCGGACCCTGCGCAAACAGAGGTGAGCTCTGACTTTCTTACACACACAGACAATATATCTTTGCATAATTAACATTGATTTGTAAAACTAAAATGATAATGTGTTCTGTGTCTACCAAAACTTTACGTTCATATGAGATTTTCTTCCTTATCAGATATGTAAGCACACCTAGTGAAAGTCCTGTTAAAAGATTCAAGCTTTCAATGTATGTTTATCAACATATGTACGAATTGTTTATCAGGATGTAGCCATTCTGTGACGTTTGTAATCACAGATGTAGCACTTTTAAACAAACACAAACAAAGAGTTCATCTATTTCTAAAACAGCCAGTTGATTTTTCACTGCAGGGCCTGTCACACTAAGCAGGCGCCTGTGCCCACCTTGGTGGGTTTTGGCCAACCGATTTGGGCAGCGGAGCTCTTCATTCTTCTGCTGGAAACAACTCCTCAGTTCGATAACTTGCAACCTGCAGCCTGCTATATGCACAGATAACCGTTGTTGTACAGTGCCACCTAGTGCAACCGTCCAGAGAAATCCCAGCCTGGGCTCGCACCATGCTGTGATAGTGGCCTGCCTGGTGGCTGCTGCTGCTGTTCTGCATCTAACGAGAGAGACTTTGCCTGTTTTCGTGGCTGTAAAACTGAGGGCTCCCTGCACAAGCAAGAAATGCTGTGGTTTATGTTACGCACTTGTTTGTAACGTGGAACATAATCATGTTCTCGGTGGCATTTCTGTCCTGGTTTGGTAAATTCATGTAACTAAGATCAAACTTACAAGTAGATGTGACATCTGGTTGCAGGTTTTGCTGGGTTGGTGGTGACGCTGAGTTGGTAATGACTGGATCCTCTGGTACTGCAGAAGGGACGGTTGGTTGTTCGGATTCTGAAGGAAACCCCCCCCAAACACACGACAAAATTCAGAAGACACAGTTTGCCATTGAACTGATCCTTGAAGAAGGAAACCTGCCCTGTATGCTCCATGCTCTGGACTGTTTGGGTGCTCTATCTGATCAGTAGTTAGACTTACAGTCCTACACTCCCACCTCCAGCTTCGCTGTCCTCTGAATATATTTAACGCTATGAAATGAGGAAAAAAATGAAAGTGAAACCCTTACCAGTATGCTGTGGGTAGCTTGGAGTGGAGGCCGTGCTGCTGTTCAGATCTGACACTGTTGCGGTCACTGGGGGAAAAAACCAGAGCGGTTCTGAAGGCTGTGCAAAATGTCCCTCAGTGCTGATGGCAACTGGTGATAGATGCTGTGTTTAGCTGACCTGTGCGTTAATTAAAAACAGGCCAAGCAATTAATGCCTACCTGTAGATTGCTCGTTCTCAGAGACACGTGTATCAACCTCTGGCGCAGCTGGTGCAGGATTTGTTTTTGTCACTGAAAAAACCCAACAACAGTACAACTTTCAGAGAACTTTATAAACATTTGTTGAGTCAAGCAATCTAAGAAAGAATGAAGTAAGAATAATTAGATCCATCCTAAAGATGAGTAAATAGGTGGAAGGCAAACTCTACTGTGAGATTTATTAGACAAGCGGCTTCAGTGTTAATTTACAGTACTTACACCCTGCTAGCTTTCCAGGTGGATGTGTCTAATACACAGAAGACATGGGAAGCTCACAGCTTTTTGGGAACACAAACTTTGAGTTATCTCTAAAGCTTTAGCACAAACATCACCTGAATTCTAGCAGCAGCATTGGGGAACTGACCTGCCTGGGCTGATCTGGCTTACTGTTTAATGAATTTTAAGGTAGTTAAGAAGCAGTAAAAAGCCCCAAAATCTTCGTTTGGAGTTCTTCTTTTGCCCCAGGTAGCCCTCTCATTTAAAAACAGATTCCACACATGGGGCAGTAGGCTACGGGCTTCAGCTTTGCGTATGTATCTGCATAACTTTCACCACTTCAGAGTGGTAAAATGGGATAGCCTCTGCTGAAGGAGGCGGCAGTACCTGTCCTAGGGAGGTCCTCGAACCGGAAAGACGCCATCAGCTTCTCTTCTCTTAGTGCTTGGTGGCGAATGATGCAGCTGGCTGTTGAATTGGGCCCATAGGCGAGGACTGTCAGCGTGCTGGTTGTGGTCCATTTCTTCCCATCAGCTTCTAACTCGTGCTTAGTGTCACCTATACACCCATTGGAAGAAAACATTTAAGTGCTTTCTAGTCAAGAGCAATTTAATGAAAAACCTTCCAGGCGCAATCTGCGTTATTTTGCTGTGCTAAAGCAGCACCTGATTACTGTGCACAAGTGGTTCATTGTGTAAATGGATTACGTGGGAGCCCAAAGGCAGCAAGGTCATGTTTTCTTCCTTGGCAGTTGTTTAAGTGCAGACCTCACTGCACCTCCCGCACTCAACCCAAAGCCTCTGCTCAGTTTCATGACTCATGCCAGGAAATTCCCCTGCAGCGCCCTGCAGGACCGCAGCGAAATGTCCAACCACCCACCGGCACTTTTGGTCCTTACGGAACGGAATAAATTGCTTTGCTGTGTGCCACAGCCACGCAGGACCCGCAGTGGGGAGCCTCAGGACAAGGACCTGCCCTTTTGCAGCACAGCCGACATCTAGAAAAGTTCTGATTCTGCTATGTGATATCCCAGGGCACTGAATTTGTGTCTTAGTAGCTGTGGATTTGTTACCCCAAACATAAAAAGAAGTTGTTAAATTTGTATTGATGTGCAATATTTATATTTGTAATAAATAAACATTGGTACAACTCTATTAAATCCTGTACAAGTCCTCCACCATCCCTACAATGCAGGTTTGACTCTTCCCCTTTTGCAGCTGGGGGAAGTTAAACACAAAGATTAATTGCCTTGCCATAATGGATTAGAGAGCACCATGTAACTTGTCTGATGTAGTTCCTAGTCCTCTAGGTAATACTGACTTCTACTCACTTACGTGATATGGAAAAATAAAGACGTATTTCATGTGACACAAAGAGACGCGTTCGAATCGCTCTAGTGGAGAGGGAGGTTTTTTCAGATGTTTACCTTAAATGCCCACGGTGGCACAATAATTTCTACTGTCTGTTTATAATGTAGAGGTTCTCTGGAAACAAACTGATGCTTTCTCTTGATCTGTTACCCTTCGTAACACCCTCATTTCTTAAATGAAAGAAATTCCTTGTTTCCAAATTAGCCTTTACAGATAACTTGCTGTATCACATAGACCAATATTTCTCAACCCTCTTCCATCCCCAGCTGGGTCATGTAAGAGCTCTAAAGGATTTCAAAGTGTTTTTGCTAGGAAGGAAATGATCTTTGTCAGCAACAGCTCAGTAATTACAGCTGGTTTGCCCCTGCTGAGCCCTGGTGGAACTGCCAGTAATTAAGACGTATTAGCTATTTTATAATTAGTATAAATATTTGCAGTAAGTGATTAAAGCTGAGAATGGAAGGGAGAGAAAGGAGTGTTACTCAAAGACAGTCACCCGCAAAAAAAGGGAAGGCACGTGCAGAAAGTTTGAGAAACACTGAATTAGGAGAGTTTGTTTTTTCCTTTCAAACACTTCAATTTGCGTCTGCCGCGAGCAGGCCACATGGTGAAATCAGCACCTCTTCATGCAAATATTCCTTCCTCTGAAAACCAGCCACAGGTGAACCCAACCAGCCGGACACGGCACGGGCCCTGTGGTGCTTCATTGCCTTCCCAGGTGCCAGCGGGGTGTGAGGTGGAAGGTGAGGTAGTTCTCACTGGTATGGCTTGCCCTAATGGCTGACTGGGTTAGTGCTACGAAGGCAAGGAGGAGATGAAGGTAAGTACAGGTTTTTGTTAAAATAAGTGGAGAAACGCGTGGTTGGCTTTCTGTGTTGTGGGAGGTATTTGGTGTCTGAGTTGTGTGTTGTGATGTTACGAGTAATATGCTTTTATCAGGCCAGAACTGAGGTTGTTTCAAGTTTAAGGAAACCCCTGTTTTTAGAAGAACACTAGGAAAAAATGTATATAAAAAGTTGGAGGTGATATATTGCTTCCCTGAACTCTTCACAACTTTACAGCTGGTATTCCCCCAAGCCTTTACAGTCACGCACAGCCCAGCTCTTCTCAAAGACATGCAGGATTTTAGAGCCTGCTTTTCCAAGATGCGTGTCCTGCTCCAGAGCACCTTTACCCCTGCAGTCGCAGATAGCTCTCTGCCCTGGCTTTCACGTGGCTCACTTACCCTGAGTGCAATTCCTTTAAGCATAGGGCTTTATGTGGTTGCATTAATGCCTGTGTATCTGGCAGCCTGGATTTCTTTCTTTCGTCTTGATTTCTAGCTATATTCAGGCCAGCATGCTTCTCTCTTGTTTACTAGAGCTCTTAGTTAAAAAAGCCGTCTTGGTGGGGGGGGGGGAGGAAGATTACAGGCTAAGCTTTGAATATGTTGCTTGATGATACAAAATGCAAAGAAGAGCTTGTTAATACGTGAAAGAAAATACATTTGCATCTATGGGTATTTTCCTCACACTTTGATACAGATGTGCGTTTCCTCTCCACTGTGCTACAGTTACAGCTAATAAGGTAGTTATTATTAGAACATGGCCTTCAAAGCAGCTGTTTATACAGTACACGTCAAATTGAGCTACGTGGCGGCTCTGTTCCTCCTCACGTGTGTCCACCCAGATGCATGCAGACCTCTCGCTGGGGAGAGCCTCACCGGGCGGCGTGGGCTGCGTTTCCTGAGCTCTCTTCTTGCTTCTGCTAGCGAGCGGTCTGGCTCTGAACAGCGTAATGAGAGGGAAAGGCTGCTGGTGTGCGTGTGAGCTGCTCAGCAAAGCTGAGGAAAATCTGTCTACTGGTCGCAACATGGAAATAGTTATAATGGATTCCTTAACTGACTTTATACTTGGGCTTTGAAAATCGTGCCTCCAGAGTTTTGGTTTAATTTTATTTCAGTGGAATTTCACTCCAGGCTCCCAAGGGATTTTGGTGCCAAGTGCTGTTGTTCTGCACTGAATGTCAGCAAAGCGGATGAGCCCTCTCCCTTGCACAAACACTGGAATTTAGTGCTGACTTTTCTTCAGACCGGCACCACGGGGGCCGAGTTGTACTAAATGAGTGGAGGATGAGTGGTAGTCCCAGCTGATGTGTTGCAGAAGGTGTTTCACCCTCCAGTATTTTTAAACGTGCCCAAGGCTGATAAGAAGAAATTGTTAGTAATCAATCCCTGGTCCTTTAACACTTACCAGGGAGCTCTATCCCGTTGTCCAACAGCCAGGTAATCTGGGGCTGTGGTTTACATCCTTGGGTATAGCAAGACAGCGTAATGCTTCTTCCTGCGTCTTGGGATACTTCCAGTACTGGATTAGAAGGAGCAGCTGCAGCAAGAAGATTTAGAATCAGTTATAGTACATCTTTCTACTTGGTTTTATGAATGGCTGCATACATAACGTTATTTGGGGGGGGGCTGAGCTAAGACCAGGATTATCTTGTGTTAAGCACCGTACAATTGCATGCAAAAATGCAGGTCTGGAGTTGAGGAGCAGGCTTTGTTGTTCTGCTCCTCTGCAGCAAAGCAGGTGAAGGAACTTACCTAATACCTCAACAGTCTTGTTCTTGCTTTTGAACGGGATGCCGTAGTAAAGGCATTTGTATATGCCTTCATCGTGCACTGTTACGTTAGACAGTTGGATGGATAATTCATCCTTTGAATAATGGATAAGTTTGTACCTCTGATCTCTTAAAGCTGTAAGGAAAATAAAACCAGCATGCTATGCGTGTTGGTACATAAGAGGAAGACATAATCAAAGCAGTAACGAATGAGGATATTTTTCTTTATTGCATTTTTTTAATTCATCAACACTTGACAGAATGGAGCAGTTCTAGCACAAAGCATTCCTAGCTGGTGCTGCAGTAGTAAACTGAAGAAGGGGATGTGTGCTGCCAGCGGGGAAAATGTCATGGTTTTTCTCGCTTTTATTTTCAGGGGGTCTTATTCCTGTGTTCCCAGGTATTACAGCAATTTGGGTTCTTTTAGTGTCTAGATGGATAAATATAAGCAAACGTTGGTGTGTGAGGACATGATATGTGGTCAGAAAAGTAATATGACCTTTGAATATAGAGCATAGTTGCATGAACTGAGGACCTTTCCCTTCCCCATTCCTCAAGCCTTGAAAAAATCACTTCCCCTCTTTGGGTGTATTTTGTGATATATAAATGAGATATGGTCAGCACACACCTCTTTATTAACTGCTTATTAATTGGCTGTTTCGCTTCTCCTATCCCTGTCTAATTACCTTGATTTTAATGAGACCATCTCCTAGGATAACTGTACTCTGCTGTACAGACCCCTTTCTCTCTCTCGACTTTCTAGTCTTTGCTTCATTCCTCCTGCTGGTTGACCCGTGGGAGTCCTCAGGGTCAGGCCTGCAAGTCACATGGACTTTTCCCCACAGTCGCAGCACAGAAAGTGTAACTTTCTGCCCTTAAATTGAACTGAAACTGGGGATGTGTATTGGTCGTTAGGGAGAAAAAGACCTCCAAAACTGTCTTTTTATTTATTTTTTTTTAGCTGAGGTCTTGTAAGAATGCAGAGTTGGGAGAAAATCACAGCAGTACTATAATTTATGGAAGTGATTAAATATTAAAGGATTTTGAAATGACTGTGATGTAAGACTTGTAGCTAGCTTGTCATGTTTTTAGCTACAATGAGACTGGAGGGAACTAATTCACGAAGTGGTTTATTGGAGAAGCAACGTGACAGAGATTCACAGTGGTGATTCAGAATAAAAAATGAAAATGTCCGTGCATAACGTAAAGCTTGGTTTTTCTCTAAATGAGGACTGTTTTCTTCTGTGTTGTAAAAGGAAAAAAATTTAGTGTGTCTGACTTATCAAGGATCAAAATGCTTTGCAAACTCCGGTCCTTGTGGGTGGACAAACAAAACCTTAAGCATCCAAAGGGCTAGAGCCATTAAAGGATGGAGATGCCGTAGAGAACTGACATAAATGAAGGGATTCTTGCTACTCTCATCTACCTCTACGGTGTGAAATGCTGAGAACATACCAATATGTCAAAAATAGAGATAACTGATGGAGAGGGGCATTCCTCCTAGGTCTTGCAGTTCTTGGGTGCAATTGGACTAATAGACTGCAACAGGAGAGAGGAACCCCTGCCATAGCCTGCTGTGGTTTTTGGAAGCCTGGATGTCAAAGCAGCACAGAGTAGGTTGCAATAGCCCTGTTTCCCATATTGATCAGCTGTCGGTGGCTCAGCACTGAGGTTTTTTGGATCCCGTTTGAATCTAATGGTTCATATGCATTATACCGAGAGTACTGAACTTGGGATCCTGGAGTCTACAGGAAACAGTTCCTAACATATAGATGTGTGAGTCATTTAAAATTGCTAACGAACACTCATCCCACTTGCTCTTGTAACTGAGTAAATAAGAACAACAGTTACTCATGACATTTTCCATTTAGAAACATTGGCAATACTTGCGGGAAATATTAGTAGGCTGGTTTGATGCAGGTGGCAAGACCTGGTGGCTGGGATTCCCAGAGCAACCGAAGAGGATGCTCGGTTCCTGTGCAGTTTCAACGGGAGTTGGGTACCCAATGTCATTTGGATAAACCCCAGTCATTATTATCATTAAAGCCCAAAGGCTTTAACAAGCAGGGATGCTGACTAGGTACTGTACAAATGAGGACGACTAAGGCAGTCCTCATCTTGCAGATCTGTCAAATTTGGACCAACGAGAGGAGAGAGAAGGACAGAGAGACATGAGGTGTAGGGAGCGGAAGGGAACACAGTAATTGTAACTTTGGCTTTGTCAGCGCATATTAGAAATCACTGCTTGTTTTCTAAATTTTCCTCATGATGCACTACATCGAATTCCCCGATGAGCAGAAGAGTGCCCAGGGCTTTCAGGCACGTCTACTTCTGTCTCTCTTGTAAGGCAAGAGTGGGTTTTTGTGCTAATCTCTTGGTGCTGGTGGTAACTACAGTTCATTGTCAAAAGCTCTAGTGCCAGACCACTCTTGTGGGGGTTTCCATTTCATCAGCATCCTGCCAGAAAGGGGCTGAAGGTAAAACCATCTCGAGCGGTTGGGTAGCAGGTGAGTCAGACTGGCTGTGGGTGGGAGCCAGGAAAGCCCACTTCTGAGTGACCCTCCAGCCCCACGTGGAAAGTGCCGCATTCAGTTTTCACACTTACCCCGCTGGGTGTTCAGAAAAATTGCAAACCCGTGAGGGTTTAACCACTGCCGGGCAGAACCGTCGTCACTGCTGAGGGTACACTGCAGATTCAGGTCCTCTCCTTCCTTTAGAGTTACGGTTTCACTGCCAGCTCCTGCAAAATCCCCTGCCAGAGATGAGGGGAAAAAACAAGTATTAAAATGTGACATGAAGTAAAGTGACAATGTTTTGCACAGAGTAATATGTCAACTTTCCTTTTTTCAAGGGTGAAAGGTTTTTTCTGCATTAGGAAACTTGCCAGTGTGATTGTACTGATATAAATAAATCACAGTCATTAGATAGGTCATCACAGTCACTAGGTAAGACTTGTACCAAAGGTTTGTGATCTTCACCTGCCAGCGCAACCAGATTTAGTTATGGATGTTATCCCACACAAGCCGGCAAAGAATTGATAGCAGACCCTTTTAATGCACGTCTTTCCTGTGTGTTAACACAAACATTAATTTTCATTACTGCATGTTCCATTCTGGAGCTGTTGAACCTGATTGAGCAGTGAATGATCAGCACCTCTGAAAAATGAGACTTCTCTGTTCAGAAAGTGTAATGCTGCAGCTGCTTTGAACCGGCTTGAAACGTCTTTCGCAGGCAGGATCCGCAAACCTGGCCTGGCACAGAATGGCATTTCATTCTCTCTCCTCCCAGTTCATTTTACAGACAGGCAGCAAAGTGATTTTTTCTCTCCGGACATTCTAAGATACATAATACACTTTGTGAAAGTATTTGATGACCTGGAATGAATTGCCTTCTCCAGAAAAAAGCATGCCCTGGAGACATTAGTAAGAGCGGTGCCTGGATCAGAGTTAAGTAAATAGGCAGTAAGAGGGTTTTATTTTTCATTCCTGTTTTGTGTGTTTTGATTTTCTTTTCCAGGTAGCTGTCTGCTGCAAGTTCTTACTGCATACGCGAGCACTGCAGTTTGGGGAAATGAATCTTTCTGGGCTTCAGGAAAGCTTTTCATCTTCTTAAAAACATTTTAAAATAGACCAGAAATGAAGCTATTGTGGGGCATTCTTGCTGGACCTTCTGAAGGTCCAGCAAGATCTTGCTGATTCAGAAGATCTTGCTGATCTTCTACCACTAAAATCAGAGGAAGGACTTGTTTCCCTGTAAGACAGTAGTTTCCCATGGGGATCCCATGCCTCACCCTTGATTTGAGCACACATGACATTTCCTGGGCCAGAGGTGGCACGGAAAAATGGTCAGTGATGTAGCTTGGGACTTCACAAATAGCAAATACACCATGGACCTTTTCTCTTTCTTCACTAACTAATCTTTGGACCCTGTAAGCCTATAGAAGAGATTTCCTTGTAATATCTCAATATTTTTACTTCCGAATTTGTAAGTATGATGTATGCTGCTTTAGCCAAGGAGAAACTCTGCAATACAGATCTGCTGTCTGTCCTTACTGCACGCTGCCAGGAGGCACCACAGGCCGGGTTCCACTGAATCGCTGTACACCGGTGAAGCCCTGTTGAACTTAGAGCGGCCGTAACTGATTTACCCTCACATATGGCACATCGGTGCCTTTGCCTTACATTTCCTCTTGAGTCCACCTCCATTTCTGAGGGTTAGTGTCTCAGCTGGTTTCTCAGGGCTTGTGCCCCGTGGGGGTCCTTTGCAGAGGAGCAGTAGAAAAGGAAAACCTCTTTGCATGGGCTCCACTTGTGAAGACCTGTGTTGGGAGGTGCATGTTGTTAAGGTAGCAGAGAGGGCCTTGTCTGTGGTTTTCCACGGGGCCCTTCTGCATTTTTTCGTAGTGACAGTTTCCTGTCGCTGATAGCACTGTGGGGTCTTTCAAGTCGCACCTTTTGAGGTGAGAGCAGCAAGACTGAGCAAGAAAAGGTGGGAGTGTTGCTTGCTTTTCTAAAAGATAAAAAAGCAGCCCTCAGAACAGAGCATATACATAATTTCCATGAGAGACCATGGCTTCGTTCAGACCATGACTCACAGGTCAAATTTCCTTCCTTGTATAGGGGGCAGTTTGACGTGGCTGGGGTCTTCAAGCCACTGTAGCCCACCACAGTGCAGTCACTGGGGCGTGGGAGATGCTCCCGTGCCAGCTCCAGAGGACAGTGGTTCTTGTACCGTGTGGATCCCAGGTGCCCCGGCTACCTGGAAAAATTAGTCTGGCATCAAGTATATATCCACCTGGTGGTGATATATCTACCTTCTTGGCAAGAAAGGGCAACAATTTCTTGCTAGAAATTGCAGGATGCAACTGAGCAGAATGGTTCATGCCTCTGGTTGCCATTATTTTAGCCATCAGAAAGTGCACAGAGAACTCGTTGCGGTGATATGCACTCAATGCATCATTTCAGAGTTATCTTTAAAACTGTAGCCTATAGAGACATCCTGTTTAATGAGTTATTTTTGACCTGTGGCTGCCGACCTGCAAGTGGGAGTCTGAATTAACTCGGATGGCCAAGAGCAGCTAGCAGTTGTCAGCAGGTACAAATTCGTCGTGCGGGAGTCTGTGGCAATATGGGGGGAAGAGGGGTTGTATGCTCAGAGTGGAAGCTGCTGATTTAGAGCAACTCTAAAGGGCGCTGCAAGTGCTAGTTCAGCTAGAATATAACTGACAGCTGCTTAAGGCCTGGCTTCTGCTAAACACAATCAATGGTAACGAAATATCCTAAGCATACGGTATTACAGAATGCTTTGTCGCTGTTTAGACACTGAGATTTGATGTGGCCTCTGTTAACAGTATCTTTGCGTGCGAGAGTATTAGCAAAGCGTCAGCGATAGCACTGCTATGGTTTCTGCTCCAGCATTTGTTAAGAAGGGAGAGGGACTGTTGCTTCGGCCAGCACCAGGCTCGTGCGTGCATTCCTCCTGCAAAGGAGTCGGGAGTGAAGCCTGCAAGAATCCTGAGCTGTAGATAGCTGTCTTGCCGCTTTCCTTACTTAAATCTTTCCCTATTTGACATGGTCAAATGTGAATCTCTCACATTCTCCTGTGTATGAAAGACAGGAGATTAGCAAAGTAGGTATAAGCTACATCCTCTAGTAGGAGTAAGGACATTGAGCATTTAAAGTGCTTTTCATTTTCAAAGTACTTTGCAAATGCTTTCTAAATTACTCTGACTTCTTATATTAGCTTCTTTTTACACAATACATGAACAAAGGCATACACAGATATCCAAGCCATGGAAAGTAAGCAGTGATCCGCTGTCCAAATTTAAGGGAGAATCTTTTGATTTCCCAACGCTTTGCCATCTCAAGCATGCTGCCAGCTGCTAGGAGATGAATTGGTCTCATCGATACTGGGTTTAGGAGTCAGCTGGAATTCAGCACCAGCGTGCTTTGGGAATTGGGTGACAATACGGCATTGTCAACGAGAAAACAACAACAGCAAAGCTGCCTTGCACATGGTGTGCTGAAACTCTGGAAATCGAGTTCTCCAAGCTGGACTGCTTGCAAAGGGGAGATCGTGTAAGACAACGCGTATCGCTTACCTTGCATCAGGAACAGAGCCGCGACGGGTAGCACCCGGGTGAAAGTCATGTTGCGGTGTGGGTGCAGGCGGTCTGTGCTGACTTCCTCTCTCTGCTGGGGCCGCTGTGCAGCCAGTCCCTTTTCAGCACGGGGGGAGCAGATTTACCATGACTTCATCACTGCCGGGGTCTCTGCCTCCTTTCCTTCCCTCTGGTCTTCCACTCTCTTCTCCCCCACCTCATGTTTCCTATGTGTTGGCGACTGCTGAGAAATCGGTGACCCCACAGGTCCCTAAAATGAAACTGGTGGGCGACAGGACTGGGGGCGCTTCACCTTGCACCCCCTCCAGCTCTGTTTCCCTCAGCGTCCGTGCCGGGGAGAGGGGGAGAGATGTATACGGGGGGAAGCAGGTAAAGGTTAAGAGAAACATGGGCCTGGGGTAACCCCGCCGGGGACCCCTGCTGCAGCGATCCTACAGGTGCACTGTGTGCAGGCTTTAATTCCCCAAGATGGGGAGGCACTCAGGAAGGCAGAGCACATTTGGTGGACGCCGCTGTAGTGCAGTAATTGGCAAGGTTGCTTAAATCCCTGGAAAAAGAGTCTTGTGTCACTCTGCATCTTGTACCGCCGCGTGCACGGGGGGTTTGCATTGCTCTGCTTGCAGGGATCCTGGCAAAACAAACAATGAGAGAAAGGTAATTTGCTGTGTGTGGTTTGTGGCTCTCTGGGGAATGAAGAGTATTGGTGAGGTGGTTGTGAAAGGTTCGCTGAGCGCTGAAGCACGAGGCAGAGGGATGATTACATCAAGGAGGTCCCAGAGGACCGGTGGCAGAATCTGGGTTTCCCATGTCCCCTTGCAGGTCTGATTATTTCAGGAGCAATCTGGGGCATAGCAAAGCTTTCTGGGTCTCCTGGGTGTGTGGTGTCCAGTAACATGACAAGATTTATCCAAGCCTGTGGTAGGCAGAGCCTTTTTTCGTGACGTAGCCGCGTGTGCTGATTTCCAAAGAGACTTTGGCAGCTCCTCTTCTGGCACTTCTCTGCAACTGCCCAACATTTAGTGCAAACGACTAACACTGTCAAAATGAGCTGACTTTAGTAAGATAAGAAATATGGTTTAAAAACTGTGTGCATTTGCAGGACATGGGTTTGAGTGAACTGGACAAAATGGTTAATTATAAATACATTATGCATTTCACTTCTGATTTCTTAGAACCTGTTTCCATTAAACTTTCAGGTGCATGGAAGGGCGTCATTCTATTAATGTATATTTGATAAAAGATATGGCTTTTATGTTAATCGTAATATAATCAGTTTTACTGGAAAACAGAGCTGTAGGCCATAAAGTTTAATGTAGATAGTTGGTTTGAAAGGGAAGAGTCTCGCTGACTGATAAAACTACTGCTGGATTAAAAAAATCCAGATCAAGAAAGGTGGCGTGTGTTGTAAAGGTAAGCATTGCTTTGGTTTAAAAGTTGTGCTTCCAGTTCCACACATCTAAACCTGACAGTAAAATAACTTGGGAAAAAAGCCATCAAGCAGTAGAGACAGTGAAGCCACCTGCCTCCGACCCAGAGGGAAAACTCCGTCCCTGTGCAGTGGAAGGAAAACCAGACTTGAGATGGTTTTGTGCCATCTGCTGTCAAATAAATGAACTTCATCTTCAGTGGAGGGAAGAAAAACGTAGCTCAAATTCCCCTTTCTCCTTGATGCTTCTGAGGCTTCCACCCCATCCAGGTGGGCATCCCAAAATGGGATGCGGTGTGGGCAGCATTGCAACCCAAACTGAGAAACAGCCCTGACTCCCTTTTTGTTTCAAGGTCCCAGTACAGCTGTTCTCTAGGCGTACGCCCAGTACAGGCGTTTTTCCTGCCTACATCTTGCTGCAGGCACTGAAAATATTGCTCAGGCGCACCCCAGCAATGCACGGGCCCCTCTGAAGGGGCACTTCATTGAAGGGCTGTGTCAGAATATTCACTCCGGCAAAGTCCAACACGCTTGAGAGGAAAACTTAAATAGGAAGGGCAAGGTGTGGGTGCGTGGCATCTTTATCAAATCATCTACGAGACATTTTTGTCCGACTTCCGAGAAATCCATTTAATGTCATAAGCAAATTAAAATGCAGTGGTTGTTTTAACAGTTGTTAGCACTTGAAACTGAGATTAAAAACAACCAACCAACCCCCCCCCCCCCCCCAAAAATAAAAAAATACAGGTGTCACAGGTAATTACAGCTATTTTTGGCAATACAATTATTGTTTTTTTTAAACAGCAAACATTTTTCTCAAATAAATACAATCTGCTCACACTAAAAAACATAATAAACAGAATGATACAACAGGTTTAAAATTTAAAAAAAAAAAAAGTATCCATTGATAACATCAAGTTTTAAGAGGTGTCCACAGAGAGAAACTTCAGAAAATACATTTTAATGGGAAGTAATAGAAAGGAACTGGCTGTGTATTTTCTGTTACGTAGCATGTATGGTTAATGAATATTCCCCAGGGAACAAGTATTTGAGGAAGTGGTGAGAAGTAAGTAGCGATTTAGTGTATGCAACCAATCACACTTACTGCTTAATTATTTTTTTTTAATTCATTCATTCACCATTTTAAGTGTGTCTGCTACCACCATCATTTCATGTACATTTTTAAATTTCAAATAATTTCCTCTATGCTTAGGCTTTTTTTTAAAAACAAAACAAACCACAAACCAAACCTATTAAGGCTCCCTTTCTAAACAATAGTTTTCGTATGGAATTTCAATACATTTTAAGTTGTGAAGCATTGCAAACTAATTTCCAGCTGTGGGTTTAAACGAGGGTTAGTCGACTACAGCCTAACTCCACCATCTAGCGTCCCTCTTTTTGAAATGAGCATGAATATAATCGGATGCTAAATCTCACCCTACTTCTGCATGCATTTCTTAAATCAGGACTGGAAGGGCTCAGCCCCGCACAGATACGAGTCCTCCAAATTCCTCGTTAAGTCAGTGGCAGGTGGGGGGGAGCAGCCTGTGGTAGGACCAGGCTTTGCGTGGCATGACCCCAAGCCTGAGGAAATCATGAGAAATCTTCCTCTTCGTTTCCCTGGGCTCTGGATCAGGCCTTTGTAAGGACCCACGGGACCCAGAAGGAAAAGTTTACAACCCCTCACACCCAGTGCAGTACTCGGGAGCTGAGTAGAGAGGCTGAGTTTGTCACGGTGCTGTACGCAACCCCCTCCCCATCCTCTGACCTTTTTTTCCCCAAGAGCTGCAGTCAGCACACAGTCAAAGGTGACAGTACCCACGTCCCTGAGATATTGCCACCTGGGGGGCTCAGGGCTGCGGATACAAAATAATACGCTGGGAAAGAGCACTCTAGCATCCCTTCTACCCTCTTTGTTTTGCAGAATTACCGCTTGCGTTGCCTTCACTAAAGATAATTCCTGCAGAATTCTTGTAAACAACCACTTATTTGGTGATGTAAATTATCACTTTCCTACCATTGACACTAGAAGCTAACATCAGAGGAGAGGAGGAGGCTCCTACCATCAGCTGACTTCTTTCTGAAACTGTTCAGACTGAGTGAAAAGGGAAGTAAGGTGTTTTTTTTTTTCTGAAGTCATGGCCTGGATCCTCAGTTTGCATAAACTAGCAAAGCTCTGTTGATTTGAGTATACAGTGTCAACTTACGCTCACGGAGATCCTGGCTCCATGCTCAGAGGATTTAAGCATTTGGCTGTAGCTGCCACTGCACTAAATGTATGGGAAATGCATGAAACTTCGGACCTGGTACCTGCATTAAACTAGAAAGGAATCCCCAGGCAGAGCTCAAGCCTTGGGGTTGGGGCATGCTGCAGCCCCCTCCCGTCCACTTCAGCGGAGGGAGATATAAAGTCCGGTGATAAGGACAAACTCTTCATCAAACCTGAACTTTTTCAAATAGCCTGGTTTTGACCTTCTGGTGCCGAGCGTCATCCCGTCAGCTGCTGCCGTGCTAGAATTTGATTCTGCGCTTTGATTCTTCTATTTTTCTAGCCCAACCCTTAAGTTGCAGTTTATGAAAATACCGGACAAACAGCTTATTCTTGGCAGATTTCCAGCTTTATTCCTTAATTGGGAAGAGAGGGAAAAATCTAGGAACTGCTATTTACCTCCTATACCCTAATTAAACTGTTGGGATCTGACACAGCTCACAGCGAAGGCAAGGAAAAGACTTGCACGCACTTTAAATAGATCAAGTCTAATGTTCTTCTGGGACAAAACACTGAAGTGACGTTAAATACACATTAATGAGCAGCAATGGAGCGAAAGTGAAGCAGCAATTGTTTTGTATTCTTAACATCTCAATTAAAAATTTAAAAGGAACATCTTTTTTTTTTTTTCTTCCCCCCCCAATAAGCCTTATCAACATGAGACTACTTAACACAAAACCCCTATGAGAAATCAAAATGCTAGAAGAAATTAAGATTTTTCTGAGATTCTTGATGCCTGAAAAATCTAATTTGAGATAAGACTACAATTGTCAAAATACTTTCCCAAACATCCAAAAATATATTTTTTTTTTTTTAAGAAGAGAGTATTTTAACAGCTACCTTCTCAAACAGAACACTCTTTTCTATATTACTTACTATATGCAAAGATCAGCTAGTACGATATTCAAATTGTGCATTCAGATTTTGTTCCCTTTCTGTTTCATGCTTCTGTCTAAATAAACTCCTTGTAATGCCGCGTAACTGCAGTGGGACCTGAGCAGCCTCCGCTGTTTTGTACAGGCAGTATTTGTTGCCTCAAATTACATCTTGCTGGCCCATAGCGTGAAACAAAAAGGAGTCCGGAGAATTACACATGCATCAGTAACCAAATTAGTTTTGGTGTGATTGTCACCTATTTAAACTCTTTGCAAATTTGCAGTGAGTAAGCATGGAGGAAAACAAGCCAGAAATGCTCTTCAGAATGTCTGTACACAGCCAAAAATAGTTTAAATTACAGTTAAAAACTAAAGTGACAGCAGTATAACTGCACAGGAGCAGTTGCTTCTGTCATCTCATAAGTTATCTCCCTGACTTTTCAGTATACATCCCTGGT